CAAGGTATTCGTCGTTCAATTGCTCATGGCATTCCGCAGTGGTTCGCTCTTCTTGAGCCTAAAAATCTAAATTTTATAACCACTAAAAAAGCAAAGAAAATGATGTATGAACGAGAAAAAAGTCTGTAGAAGCCATAAAACTTACAATCTGAGATGCAACGATGTTCAGAATCTCAGCGCACCTAAAAAAGATTATATCAACAAAATCTCAAAAAGATTTTCTTTACAAAAATCATACCAGCTTTTGACGCTAGGATGTTGGGGTGAATTCAAAATTTTTCCAAAAACATCGGAACATTCTCGCATAGTAGCAGCAACATTCGTATTCCTGAACATGGCGAAGAATAAATAAGACAACCATAACCATAACACATTTGTGGGTAACAAAGCATGCTTAGTAGACCGCCAAATAACAGGAAACCTTCCACTTTGAGAATGCTGTTTCCAGCTAGAGGAGCGGAGACATATTTTCGTCCCATGCCACGATTATCAACATAGAGTGTGTATGTTTATCGAGTCTTCTAATTTGATGTAATTTAAAACGCAAGCATTCCCAACCTCTGATGATTTTTAATATCTTTCTAAAATCTTACAGCTTGAATTTACGAAGGACCAAGGCCCGAAGGAGCATAGCCTTCTTCTGTGTGTGAACAACAGATGAAGATCTGTATTGATACGAAGAAATAATTTGAAATACAAGGATTTGAGTTATTTTCAAAACTTTAACCTTCAAGAAGAGACGAGGGAAATTGAGGAGTCCATATCCACAGGGCCATCAGTTTTTACTAGACCTTAGACATTGATGTTTCTGATGACGAAGTTTTTGGAGTGATCTATCCTTTGGTTCAAACAGATAGGCGGCTGAAAGGCGGGGTTTCGTGACTTAGTTAAGGCTAGAGAGTGATAAGTGAGCGTGGGAGAGAAGCAGATGCGGCGCGGGTGCGAGCGGTGCCCTCCCAGCCGTCTACTTCAATCAATCAAAGGGTACCTAGCAAACAAAACTAGACGTAAATGGTTTTACTTTTGCAATAACTCTGGAAATTTTACAAAATACTCATTTACTTATTTTACTTGGTAGAAAGATATATAAATAAAGTCGAGACTAGTTTCAGACCACGAATTATGGAGGTTACCTATAAAGTTTGGTGGGCTTC